GTTACACAACATGCGTCTGTGCATGGCACACATAATTACGCAATGCGTAATTACGCACATGGGAGCTGAGTGATTAGACTTTTGGGCAAGCTTCTGCTTCATACGGTGTTCGAATGGACCCAGTGAGAGGACCACATCTGCTTCGCCCTTAACCCACTAAGCGAAAGCCTTAAAGGGCGAAGCCTATACGAAATAGAACGTTGGCTACGTACTGTAACCCCAGATTCTACGAGTATAGGCGTAGCCCTTTAAGCGTCGGGCCTCACTGGCTCCTAAATGGCTGAAGAAAAAGCTATTTTGGGAACCGATTTCCCGCTCTTAACATAATTTATATGGACCGGGTGGGGCCCACACAGCAGGTGGGCGTGGACTAAATTTGTCAGTGCTAATGCTACGCATAACGGGATAAACCCACTAAGCGAAAGCCTTAAAGGGCTACGCCTATACTCATAGAATCTGGGGTTACAGTACGTAACCAACGTTTCTCTCTCTCTCAGACTTGGAAGTTTGGTCACGTGCACAGCTTGCACGTCTGTACGATGATGACAACACTCCAAACACATTAACATTTAATACAAAGTTGGTCTTTATGTCAAGGGAATTTAGGTAACGGTTTATTCATTTAACCTTTATTTAGACAGGTTAATCTCATTGAGCCTCGAGGACTCATTTACAAGAGAGACCTGATTTTAACAAAGAATGATAACAACAATAGACAGTTATGAAAAGGCATACAGATTTTTTTTTTTTATATATATATATATAAATAGGATGGCAACAAAAGTAACAAAAACAGTTCAGTCCTCACTGAGGGAACACTGCAGGTAATAATGTCTTGAGAGCGCATGCTGCACGCAGAGACATGTAGGAGGAGATGTATGAAGGCAGCAGACCAAGAAGTGATTTAAAGATGAAAATGTACCAGTGAGAGAGTCTGCGTGAAGTTAATGATGACCAGTTAACCAGTGAATACAGTGTGCATTGATGGGTACAATAATCACAGCCAGTTATGAATCTTAGTGCACCATGATAGACGTCATCCATCACCTGCAGGGTTCTTGTAGGAGCGTTCATATAAATAATGTCACCGTAATCAGTGGAGGGAAGGAAAGTCACAGATATAAGCCGTTTCCTAGCATTCAGGGTTAGACAGGATCCGTTTCTGAAAAATAAATCCAGTTTAACTTTCAGTTTCTTTACCGTTTTCCACGTGAAGCTTAAAAGAGAGATGCGAGTCGACTAAGATACCCAAATATTTATAGGAATCAACAAACTCAATAGAGACACCATTTGAGGATAAAATTAGAGGAAGAACTGCTGGGACCGACTTCCTGTTAGAAAAAAAACATCCATTTGGTTTTGTCGGCATTTAAAAACACGTTTGATGTGGAACAAATCTGACTGGATGATGTCAAATGCGGATTGCAAAAGCTGGAAAGCCTTAGCAGCTGTTTTAGCTCGACAATAAACTGTGTCATCAGCATTACGGATGTTCATCACTGCTAATGTTAAAAATGATGTTACCATGTGTGTGAGGTCAGAGGTTTGTTCTGTCTCAGAGAAGAGCCTGCAAGCAGCTGACACTGTTTGGAGGAGCAGCATTATTAAAAAAAAAAAAACACTTCCTGCTTTTCTATCCGGTTGCAGATTCTCACTGACGAGGTTCTAAGTACCGTATTTTTCGTTATACAAGTCACAGTTTGTGCCTAATTTGCATGCCCTGCGACTTATATGGCGAAGCAACATATTTATGGATCTTTTCCCCATATTTTAGACCAATTTTTGGCTGAGATATGACTGTTTCCATTCATTCTGAGTGGAAAGAATGACGCAGTACAATTTTCGGCCACTAGGAGCGCTAGAGGGCCCTCTAGGATTTTGACGACTACCAGTATACCTGTAGGCATAAAACCATGCCGAAGGAGGAATTTCCCCTGTACGTGGTTGTGACACTTGATGAGAAGAGGTCGATGGACACAGACATGATGAATGTGTGTCTTACAAAGTGCTACACGAAGCGGCCAGATGGATTTTTTAGAGCAAAAAAATCCCTGCTGGTGATGGACAGCATGCGTGCGCACATCACGCCACAATTTAAAGATAAAATTAAAGCGTGCAACTCCATCCTTGCCATCATCCCGGGAGGCTTGACAAAAGTGCTGTAGCCTCTGGACATTTCTGTCAACCGGAGCTTTGAGACACACCTTTACTATAATTTCGAGCAAATAAATAAATGTTTATAGGTGGATATCTTGTTAAATTTATAAGAAATGCGGAGGCTCGTACAGCTGTGCGTGCCTGCTTCACAGCACCTCAGCAGCAGGTGACAATGGGTGAAGCTGGGTGAACCAAAACTATTTTTAGAAATTCAGCTGATTTGACCATTAAAGTGCATTTATTAAGGAAAGGTTCAACAGAGACACACCTTTACTATAATTTCGAGCAAACAAATAATTGTTTTTAGGTGTTAATCTTGTTAAAGTCCTTCCGTTATTATTATTATTTAATAATCATTAAAGTGAAAACAGTTTCATGATAAAGCCGGCACCTTAATCTTCACTGATTTTAAAAAATAAATAAAAAAAACGCATTTTTTATACATAAAATGTTTTTAAAAATCGTTTCCATCCTCTGTCCCGGTCTGCCCGTCTGCCGGGATCCGGGTTTGTCCTTCAACAGCACGCAAGGCCGGGGTCCGGGCAATGGCCTTCTGCGAGTCAGCAGCTCTCTGATCCTCCGTGGTGACCAGCGGAGCTTGGAGCCCGCAGACCACGCAAAGCCGGGATCTGGAGCTGGCAGCATGAAGGATTTTCCACGGTGGCCGGCAGAGGAGCCGGAGAGATGGCACCCTGCGTGGCCTGAGGGAGCTCTGGTGGAGGACCGGGGAGACCGGCGGAGCTCCATCTAGCTCGCTCTGAATTTTGTCGTCGGCCACCAAGCACAAAAAACTCCTGCACTTCAGCCTTAAACACGGTATTGTCATTATTGTTTTTTTTATTTTAAAAATAGATCCAGCCGCTGCTCCGAGTTCCGAGTAATTGCAAATGGCAGATCGATATGAAAAGTTTATGAAAGATCTAGTGACTCCTCCCCCTGCCAAATCAGTGACCGAAGGTGTTCCGACGTCACGTTTAGGTGCTGGCTCGTCTCGCTTGGTCCCACCAGAGATGCAGGGACCAAAAAAGGGTCCGGTTCCGCAAAAAATGACAGTGGAAAAGTGCTCAAAACTGTACAGAACTGAGCCAAACTGGGCTGAAGAGGAGCTGTGGAAAAGGGGCTTAAGATGAAAGTCCTCCGGCTTGAATTGTTGCATTTTGGAGGCCAGATTGCTTGTGGTTCGAAGTGAAGTGACGGGGGAGCTGACAGGTGAAGCCACACATGGAGGAGGTGAGAAGATTATGTTATTATTTTTGAAAGGACTGTGTTAGATAAATTAATTATCCCATCATCGTCTCATTAATCAAATAAGCCACACAGAGTATAAAAGAAGATTTTTCAACCCATTTTTACTAGCAAGGGGCGCAGAATAGAAAATAGGCTTATACAGATGTTACATGGAAGCACCAGTAACAAGGTCTGCCCACAGACAGTACAAAGAAGCTTATCAAGCAGAGAGCGGTCAAGGCAACCCCTGCTTGCCGCAGTGTTTTGTGGTCAGAACTAACGTTTAAGCAAGTCCAGAGAACTCTGGGCTGCTGGCTGGGCAGTCGGGGAACTGTCAGGAAGAAAGATACATAAAAGTATTTTTTTTAAATCAACCCTTAAAGGCCTGGGGGTGAGACAAAAAAATAAATTAATTAATTAAGGCAAAAAAAAATGTTTGAAACTGAGTTGGCTGAAAATGGCTGCTTTTGAAGTGCTGGTTGCAATTCTACAGCATTGGACCATTCTACAGCATTGAGTTCATTAATGCAGTCATTGCTTGCAATACTATAGAATCAGCAGTCCCCAATAAATAAATAAAAAGGTAAGAAACCTTTTTAAAGGCAGATAATAATATGTGGCTGCCTTTCTACAGTATTGGAAGCATTGCATGTGCATGCCTTCCTATACTGTTTTATTGGCAGTCCTCAATTATGGTGATATGGGTAACAATGGATAAGAACTGAAACATCCTTATTTACTTCAAAACATTTGTTCTAAATCTTGTTGCACAGTTTTGAAGGAAGACATGCAAATGATACAGCAAAATGTTGCAGCTCAATTGGGAATAGTTTGCTATGACTTTTGGTTAGATTATTTTTAGATTAATGGAGTTTTGGCAAAAACGCATGAAAAACCCAACCCACTTTGGCTCAGTCATACTTCGAAGTTTAAATGGGTCACAGGAAACTGGACTTCACGTTACTTTAACTGCCATTTTGATCCGTTTTAGGGGTTTTACATAATCATGGATTTTTTTATTGAACATTTTCTTTTGCTCAATGTGGCCAGCAGCCGAAAGGAACTTAAACTGATGGTTGGTGATGTCACACACTAACTATTGATAAATCAAAAATTTATTTAGAATTAATCTTTCTACTCACAATTTTTATTTTGGTACATGTATAAATTATACTTGAAACGCATGCAATCTTGTCTTCTTTGACACTGTTCGTCTCAATGCCACAGCTTTTCACGTTTTCTCTCAAATCCAGCCAGAGTGCACAGCCAAGCTTCTACCGACTGAAGCTATATTTTAGCTCAAAATATTCTCGTTAAAACTGAATGTGAAGTGTCTTTGTACTTTGCCATATCTCTTTAATAAAAATGCAGACACATAAAAACATTTTTCACACAGCGAATGTTTGAAGCTTACTTTGCAGTTCATTTCTGCCTGCCTCTCATTAACTTGGCAGTCATGAAGTGAAAAAGACAGGTGCGCACACTTCTTATACAGCTTGTTCATCAAAATGTAAGCATTTCTCCCCCTGCACTTGGTTATGAAGGGCAGCAGATATAGACCCCCTTTAAAATGTCTTTAGACATGTTCTAGCTGAACCTTGAACAGCTGGACTCACCTGGAGCAAAGCATTAAGGAAGATCTCTCTTAGTGGCTGAGAGACAGACAGATGACTGTCACTGGAGCTGATCTTGAACGTGGTCTCCAAACACTGAATTGCAACTGAAGGGTTAAACACAACACAATTTAAAGGCAACAGCTGTTAGTTGTTGCAATCAACATGAAAACCCACAATCTGGACACAAAAAGCTAAAATCATCTGTCCATTTTATGATAAAATATGGAGAACCACACATTTTTAACTGAACCATATGTGCATATCTTGTGTCAAAACCTGTATTTGATCAATATTAGGAGAGTAAACTATACAGGAGTGTAGCCTGCAGTGATTGAACATACCCTCAAGGCTCTCCTGTTCATCTGCGTTCAAAGCTCCACCGTGTGTCTGATCTCGTAGGAAGTGTGCGATTGCATACGCCAGGCGTTTCTCCACTGCCATTCTTACCTAGAAACTGTCGTCCACAGGAGGAAATTTGGAAAGAAATATTTTAAACGCATTATAAATAGTCCATCAAAAACCTCTAAATGCTGCTATCCCTCAGGATGAACAAATTTAAACAGGTTATTTTAATTGAATGTACTCCACATGAAAATATCTTGCTGCATAAGCCAAAACAATAATAATAATTAAAAAAAAGAAAACACTAATAGATTCAAAAATGAATAAAAAAAAAGACTTGTTTAAAACTGTTTATAAAAGCCTGGACATATCAGTCAGTCTTTTGGATGTTTTAAACAAGACAATTCTTTTTTCTGCACTGATAGATATGAAATAATCTGAAATAAATTACAAACATATTATTATTTAAAGGGATGTGTATCAGTTGCTGCTGTTACAGCCCAAGATAATTTTATGTAAAAAAAAAGAATGAGTCGTAGCTGTGTTGATCAAACCTTGAATGTATTATTACTCAATGTCATGCAATATTGCAAGATCAGTTAGCGCTTAGATTGTGTGTTGCGAATGACTCTCAGCTACCACCGAACAAGATTTTAACTCAATCTTTGTCAAATTGATTAAGTTATGGCCATTGTTGTGTTTGCGAAGGTTGCTTAGTTGTGTCAGCCATCTTGAAGTGTGCTGACTTCACAAATTAATCAGTTGTAGATGTAGATCCATTCATACCTGTCTAAATAAAGGTTGGATGAAAAATAACTTTCTAAGAGTTTTATTAGAATCCATTTAGTGGTTCAGAACATATTTTGTCTACAGACAAACAAATACACACAGAAGCTGGGTGGGAAAAAAAACAGGGGAAAAAGGTTTCTTAGCCTAATTGATGCTGCCATTTTAATTTAAGTGCCGAGTTTCATGGGATTATAACATTTTCCACTGAGGTGAGCTTGTGTCGGACAGAATCTCGCCGCTACTCCGGACAAGTAACAGCATCCTACGGAGACGCTGAAGGGTGCGTTAAACGGAATCTCGCCTGAGACATCTCCAGGTAAAAGAGTCGATTTCACCACCTAAGTGTACTGTAAGGAAGAAGCTGAAGAAAGCCCGGAGAGTGCCGTTCTGTTCAACACTCTCCCTCAAACACCATCTTTCACCCCCTTTTAAACTTCCTTCCCATCTTTAAACTCTTCTCTCAAGTAGAAATTCTTCCAGATATTTTAGAAATGTCTGTGTAAAGTGCTCATCCACCGCCGTGTGGATAAAAAGATCATAATTGTACAGTTTTCATAAATGTCTGTGGTGAAGCAACGGAAAAATCATGGCCGTATGATTTTTCCTGATTGATTGCTTTTGTTGTTATTTTCATAATTTGCCAAATTACTGTAAATGTTTGATGTTAAACTTTGATTCTGTAAATAAATGACCGCATTCATTTTGATGGGTCAAAGATAAATGACGTCTCACGTTTGCATTTCCTTAAATTCAATGCACGTTTTATTCAGTCCAGAAAAATGAAGAATCCGTGTTAATTGATGAATATATCTGAGCATCTGTTCATCTACATTTTGGTAGTTTATTATTAAAAATTATTATTATTATTATTAATTTGTTTTTACACCTTGTGTGATTCCTTATGTATGTTCCTTTGTACTGAAACTCTGGCACAACAATTTCAAATTTAATTTTAGTGTCATTTGTATCATGTGGAACATGAGGCGGAACGAAACTGTGTACTCAAGGTCCCAGTTACACGGAAAAAATAGCAAAAATATAAGTATAAAAAGAAACAGTATATAAGGATTTAAGATATACACTAAATGAACAAGAAATGGCACAGTAAAAGAGCTAAGACATACTCTACACACTAATAATGTAAAACAAAACGGCGTATCAACAGCAGCCCGAAAATGAGCCTGTGGTGAGCAGATGGATACAGCAGCATGGATAATCAGAATGGATAACAATTCCTGCGGGATCAATAAAATTCTATCTTATCTTATATAAATATATATATACATATATATATATACACACAT